CTGACAAAACACATATGCCTGGTGTTATGCTTTAAACTGTCTAGTTAAAAAAGCTAAGCGTGTGTTTTATGCCTTGTTGTGTCAGTTTTCCAGAGTATTACTCAAGGGCTTGGGAAGCTGTAGAAAATCAGTCTGAGTTTTGAGCACGTTGATTGCTAGATGAGGCAAGAACAGGCAATGTACACCAGACATGTAAGAGTCCTGTACTTGAATGCTAATAAATGAGTTGCATTCATTTCTGAAACACAATAAAATATTGCCACCAGTGCTTAGGCTTTAAAATATTCCTACTTCAACTGTAATAAATGTTGTCTGTTTTGGAGAGAAAAGAAACATTTTTTTTCCCCAGCTGTAATTACATATGGAAGCAATGCTACTATCAAAATAAATATGTATTATGGGCCTTTTATCAGAAACAATTATTTTTCCCTCCAACTATCTGTTGCACTTATCCGTTGAATTTCTTGTGTAACACACGTGGTGGGAGAAAGATGTGTAGTCTTCACAGCAGCTTCGTCTGAAGGGATGTCCAGTCATTTTTAGTAAACCAGATTCTCTTCCAGAAATACGTAAAGATATTTTCAAGATACACAAGGAATTGATTTGGGAATCTAGTCCCTTTTATCCCCCTGCCTTTTCAGAAATAGGACTTGACCACTTTTTAAAGTGTTGCATGTATGAAAATTGCTTTTAAATACCGACCGGGGAGGGACCACTCTGGGCAAGAAAGAGGTTAAGGGGATGAAAACTTAACTAGTCAACATCCCTAAAGTAGAAATCCACACTACCAGCTTTACTTAACAGCAAAGCAGCTCTGTTCTGAGCTGCCTGAGAGCAAATGTTTTCTTCCATCCCGTTTCTCAATACAGAAAACAGTCCTCAGAACACACACCATGTCTTGGGCATCACGTCAAAATGTGAAAAATGGAGACCTTACTGTAACTCTTAGTTTTGAGTTGAAAATGATGAAAAATTTCAGACCCTATGGAAAGGTACCAAGACATCTGTAAGCACCTGTATGAAATAAAGAATGAAATGGAAAGACGGCCTTTTGAGCACTGCAGTCTCCTCTCTTGTCACCGGGGTGCTAATGGAATATGTACTCATGCAAGCGAAGAGAAAATTGGAGTAACATGTCTCAATTACCCGTGAACTGCTGCAGCTTTATGTTGCTCTAACTCTCCTGACTTTAATGAAAACAAAATAAAAACATCCCAAATACTGTACCGTGCAGTACAATGTTGAATAAACTACAATGTGGAATAAACTACAATAAGTACCACAGTAACATTATTGATTTCTCTGCATTACACAGCTGAAAAGCTATTTGTTTCTTGTACATCTTATCCCATGTAATGCTACAAACAAACAAAAAAATAATATATATTTATCACACAGTTTAGTGGGGCCATTTTAAATTTTATTTTTACATTCTCTTGCAACAGATTTTTGGTATTATTTTTCTTATGACTTCTTTTGGAAACCACAACATTTCCTAATACATTTCAGAAAGCTGAAAAATTACCAAACAGTTCTTTCGCTGAATAGTAATTTTTCACCTACCAACGCACAAGCATCTATTGCCTGATAAGCTTTGTTTCTCTCAAGGTTTGTAAAAAATCCCACTACCCTCATGTATTAAGACAGCTGGAAAATTCATTTTTCTTAAATTTTTAACCTTTCTTTACATCTAGCTTGTGGTTGTTAGCATGAACAAAGAGTGAAGTGCAAGCTCATTAATAAGACAACAACCAACATTTTGCAATCTGAGAGGTGGTAAGAATTGTTTATTACAAGGCTGAAGAAATGAAGCAATTTATTCACTGGGTATTATGGCCGTATGTAGGGGTGGTTTATTTACGATGTGAGCTGAATGGGCACCACGTGAGGAGCCTGTATCTCCTGGCTGCCCTGCCCTTTGCTGCCCACAGGGCTCCTGAGTGCCACTGAATAACTCCCATCAGCTTTTGCACGGCCACCCTACCAGACCTATTACAGTGCTAATGGAGTTTTATTTAATGATGTGGAAATGACACGTCATTTTTTTTTTTTTTTAATGGGTTTCACAACTCCCAAGCCATTTGGCCAAATGACCATCGTGCGCAGCAAGAGCTATTACCTCACAGCCTTACAAAACTGGGAGTGCGCTGGGTGTGCGCGGGGTGTAACGAACTTGCAATGTACAGAGCGCATTTAGGACACGTTGCATCTCCTCGGAGAAGCAGAAACACCAGGACAAGCTTTGGGAAAAGGAAGTTCAAAAACAGAAACTCCAAAATACGTATATATCCCTTTGCTGATGCAAAGAGCAGGTATCTTTTTTTTTTTTCTCCATATTTTTGCTTTCTGTTTTGTGAAACAGCTAGGTTCCCACAGAGACATGAAGCAAAGCAGACAGGACTGGATGACCGTTGTTTTTCCACTTCTAACACACAATTCTGGAGGGAATAAAATACTATTTGGTCCTTGCACACACCTGTGGAGTGTGTTTCCCCCATCTCCACAGCCCCAGCTGCAGGCAGGGCACTGGGATGCTCTTCCCGTGGTGTCAGAGCTCCCAAATAGCATTTGGTTTTGTGACATTTCTAAAATACTGGTATCAGTACATTAACTGCCTGATCCTACTTCCACTGGGGTCTGTGGTGGTCTTTTGCATTCATTTCAATTAACTTTGTATCAGGCCTTAATGTAGCACCATTCCTATGTGGGGTCTCTGAGGAGAGATCTGAAAATGGAAAAAAAACACTAGTTCTACTGTGATTACTTTTTTGCATTATTAAGTCTATGTGCAGGCTCTTCACTGAAGGCTCTTAATCTCTGTAGGTAGAAAATACCAGTATATACCTATAAGCATAGATGACCTGGTACATTAAAATATCTGCCTTCTCAGGACTCTCTAATTAGCACTCTACTTTGAAAAATACAGTAAAATATTTCCAAACTGCATCAAAGCAGATTTCCCAAAGTTTATTACAAAATGGAAAGCACCGTCACTTCAAAACTTGCCCCAAGACCCTTGTTCTCACTCTCTCATTTCCTTCCCAAATATTATCCTGCCTACAAGTGTATGTCAGAGCTCGTAAGAGTATAATGAAAAACTAAAGCTCTTCCTAAAAAATTCCCACACTGTTTCTAGCACCACCTGCATCTTGATGAAGTTCCTTTGCTGCACTGTTAGTTGAAAACACCATCCTGAATATCTATCTGCCGTGCTTAGAAGATGTTAAGAGTTATGCATTGCTGTTAGCCACATAGCTTGTGCCTATCCTGAAAATAAACCTGGTGCGCTGAGAAGACACCCCTTGGGTCTGAAAAATGCTACCTTTGTCGGGACAGAATATTTCAGTATAAATGTTCATTTGGGAAAAATAGCAACTATGGCATTTCAGCAAGGACTAAACAAAGTGACCAGCATTGACCGAGAAATGCATAGTCTCTTCCATGGTCAGAGGCAAAGGGGAAAACGAAACTTTCAGCAGAGGATTGAGAAGCAAGACTTTGACACTCTGATGAAGAAGTACCATCCCCACAGTGGAAGAGTTACTGCTATGATGCATCCACCTAATAAGGTTGCCTGAGAAACAGTTTGAACAAAAAAGCTGTCACTGCTTCACTGAAATCACTGACAACTATGGTGAGTTCAAAGGAGCTAGAGCAAATTCTTGGTGAGAAGTAGATTTCCGTATAAAATCTTTTCCCAGGGCCACAACTAGAAGAGATAAATGAACTCAATCTAGCTGGTACATGAAATGCCTTTTTTTGGTGTTTTTTTTCTAAAGAATTAAGCCAAGACCTGCTTAGTGAAACTCCTCCACAGAAAGCTGTAGGACCTTTCAGATCCAAGAGTGATCTGCTAAGACATGCTCCTGAAACATGAAGACTGGGTGTAAGGATTATAAGCTTTCAGCAACGAATTTTCCCAAATTTCTGAATTTGGAACAAAACTGTTGCAGAGCATCTTGCAACTAAATGGTTATGACATTCTCCTAAAAGTCAAACTCCACATTCAGGAGGGTGTGAGCCAGCTGGATGCCCTGGCTGCACATTGCAGATGAGAAGTGGGTTGGACTGGATGCCCAAACATCTTGCCTGAGGATTTTGTAAGCACCAACCTGGCACAGGCACTTAATATCAGGACATTTTTTATGTCTGAGAGGCTTGGATGAACAAAAATGTGTCCCTTAGACTGCAGTTAGGTGCCTAAATACCTTCATTAGGGTTAAACACTTGCTACTATCACCCTTCACCGATACTTTCTTTGGCTTAGGAGAGGTGCCTTATTGTTTGACATGGTGACTTTAATGAATCTCATTTTCAGATGCCTAATTGCTCTTGGCCTTGTAATACTTATTCAGACATAAGGCAGCATTGCAGGGTTGAGCTTGCAATCTTCCTCGCACGCCTAATCTAAATACTTGCAACCTTATTTTAAAAACTTGGTTATTAAAGCCAGAGTTGCAACATTTAAAGCAGACTGTTGCATATGAAACTCAAAAACTTACCTGAGAAATGGAAGTCCACGGACAATTTTTTTTTTTTTTAAATACCAAATAGAAAAATGTAACAAAAAGCTATTTTTAGAATACATTACAGAATACTGGCATGTTATACAAATGCAATTAACCCATTGAAATTTAAACTAGTTGTAAGTTATGTTCAAGGCACCTTTTTATAAATAGTTTTTTTAGAGATCATCCTACATTCACACTAGTTTAACCATGTAAACAAGTCTGTGAAAGCTCAAATTAAAGGTCACTTTAAGATCTGTGTGCCAAATACTTTAGAAAAATATCATATTGCATGGAAAATTCAATGAAGTAAGATAGATCCATCTGCTGCCCGAACAGTTAGATAGATGCTACGGGGTATACTATTAACAAGATAAAGCCTAAAAGAGGTTTTCAAAAATTAAAGATAAGTAACATGCAATGCATTAACATTTGTGTTTATCATTGTACATAAATGCTGAAAAAAATGCAAGCCACTATTCCTAGTTGAAAATGTACATAAAAGCTGAAAAAAATGCAAGCCACTATTCCTAGTGCTATCCTATTTTTAAAGGGAAAATCTTTGGAAGCATTATCATTTGAAGTTTAAAAACATCCTCCATCTTTTTTCGCCTACATTTAATCTTACAATACGCTAGTATATACTTTCTTCACAAGGAAAATGTATAAAATTAATCTTACAATATAAACACTATAAACAACTCCCTTGAGACATCTTCTGGACACAGAATCTCTGTAAAGACTTCAGTATAACAATTCTAGGATAATTATGAAAAAGTATGTACATTCGTTTCAATGTCCTAGACCCCAGAAGAAACCCAAGTAAGCTCTACAAAAGTTGCCCGTCAGTCTTGTCCAGTTAAGATTATGTCCAGCTTTACTACTCTTGCTGTATTTCAACATCATCAACAAAAGTTTTACTTGTTTTTGTGTAGGAAGTTCCCAAACTTTTGCATAAAACCTCTCAGCTTATTTTCATTAGGCTGCAATGGATGGTAAGCAGTTGAGTTGTAGCCGACCATGTGATTACTCCTACCATAATTATTCCCTAAGGTCTTGCTTTTGATATCTGAGAGATGTGAACTGCTGTTGGGTGCATTTCCTGCAGGTTGGCCAGCATTTTCAATCTTACAGAATGGCTCAAAGCGACTATAAACACGCCTTTCACTCAAACGAGATCTTAGCTCCTCTTGGCGTTTTGAGCTTGCCAACTGTGGTGTCATTGAACTTGCTCTTTGAAGAGCAGAAACAGGGGCACTTTCGGGAGTAGTGTTTGTGGTGATTTCCTTTACGTCTTGATACTGAATCTGTTCTGTATTAAATCTTGGGGTAGACGCATCTCCTGCAGTTTCTATGAATTTACTTTCAAGGGGGCACAAAAGAGGACACTTTTTATTGCTTTCATCAGATGGAGGTTTTGGTGACTTTGGAGACTTTGGAGACTTTTTTGGGCTCCCGGTGACATCTTCTTTACTTCTGTTTAAGCTACCTTGAGAATTTGACGATGTGTTTCTCTTTCTCCTTGGGGAAGAATCTGTCTTATTCTCAGAAATCTTTGGCTTTTGATTCTCTTCTTCAGAAACCAATGTATCAGAACTACTACACATTCTGTAAAAGGCAGTACCTTTGTTTTTTGACAAGTTTTCCTTCTTGTCTGGTGTGAGATTAAGAAGTGACCGCAATTTCTGGGATCCTTTCTTTAGAAAACTCGGGGAACTCTTACTTTCTTTCTTAGATGTGCAATCCTTACAAGACTCCTCTTTGCTCGATTCAGTGAGAGCAGCCATAGAGATTGCCTTGCTAGCAGTCGGGCTCTTTAGCTCTCCTTTGAGGTTCTTTTCCTCCTGTGGCAAGTGGTTGGTCACACTGTGCAAACTTTTAGAGGTCTTCAGTGTGTCTTCTGGAAGTTTTGGACTAACTGGCTGCTTAAGTCTATGCCTAGTCAATGTGCTGTAAACATAACTGGATGCATGTTTGTTGGCACCAGGGTCTAAAATAGACTTTGAATTAAACATGGGAAAACTTCTCCTTTTTAGTATATTTTCATTTTGAAGATTCTTCAGATTTTCTGTGTGTTTGTCTGCACACAGTGTTGTGTACAAGTAGGGAGATGAGTCACCTGTTGCATTTGAATTTACAATAGGTTTTGTGTTGTCTGCAATATGAATTCTGTGGTTTTTTGGTGCATCTGCTTTAAGTGGGACATTGGTGCTAGTCTCTTCTACAGTATTATCTGTTCCGTTTTCCACACTTGGAGCATGATTAGACGTCCCTTTAGGTGTTGCACTTCCCTCCGACCCAATTATAGTTGAATTTGAAGAACTTGCACAGCTGCTTACTTCCTGCTGTTCAGGTAGAGTTGGCTGAAACACCAATGACGATCGCAAGCGAGAATGAGAATACAGCGCATGAGCTTTAATATTTTCAGCTGTGTCATAGCTATCGTATCTGTCACCCAAGGCTGACCCGTTAGACTCCACTGGATAATCCGATTGATCGTTCAAATATGACTTAATTCGCCAGTTACGGAGGAATGATTTCGTTGTGTGTTCGAGGGTGGGCATCCTTTGCTGCAGATGACGGATATGATTATCTGTCCCATTAAAAGACCTCCGTACAATTGAATTTCTTTCCGCAAGATTTACCTTTGGTCGTGAAAACTGATCAGCAAAACTCTGCTGGGGTGTATTGTAGTTATTTGCATACCCTCCTCGTAACGAAGAAACAATGCTAAGGCTATCAGATGGCATTTTCCAAGCATTTGATGGATTGTTGGCTCTATTAATAGCTCTGTTGAGCAACAGGTAAGGTGTCCTTTCTGGCTTCTCCCCAGCATAACTATGTCTCTTCCAGTGCTCATTTTTTTCACTAGGTTGATACTGCTGGATGGCATTTTGCATATTAAAACCCGGATGAAATGGTTGTTTATTATAGGCTTGATTTCTCAACACGTATTTATCTATTTCGTTCACTGCGTATCTTCCACGAGTTTTCCAACAAATAGGATCTATCTTGTGAACCTTGTCTTGCCTACCAAAAAGGTTTCTTTGGCTAGAAACTGAGGCCAAGGAAGACACCGAGTGCTGGTACGTGTCGTTATCCCAGAGTGTCCTGCGACTGTTCACCCGCACTAATTCTGGGGCAAAGGAACTAGGAACAGAAGAACGGGCATACAGTGTCCTGAACTCTTCATCAAAAGATTCAACCAGCTGTCCTGTGATAACTTGAACCATACTGAGGTTGGTTTTTTCAAATGACCACATAAAGCTGAAAGAGGAACAAATGACCATTAGAAACAGGTTTTTTTTTACACTTGTCCATCCTGATAAGAAAACTGTCACACAAACCTGGGTTTTGTACAAATACTTTCTAAACAAATAAATAAATAGGCATGATTCATGTAATTTGGACTCGGAAGGTCTAATCTAATACCATTTGAACTCAGCTGGAGACTTTCAACTGCTTTCAGTGGGAGCAGGAATTAGTCTATAACTACTTAATTGCCCTTACAAAAAGTGGATATTGCAAAAAAAGTATTCACAAATGTAGAACAGTGGACTAAAAGTACCTAACGGCGCAAAATTACCTCTACAAAGACTAAGCCAGCATTGACTAGGCCACTGAGTCAAAGAATGTTAATGTGTGGTTATGTTGTGAAACAAATACATTTGAAATAATACGCAGAACTGCTTCTGAATGTACTTCACTCTGAACACATTTTCAAAAAGATGCACCTCAGAATTGTTAAAAACTTTACAATTTCTACTCTGCACCCCAAATTGGCTATGGACATTGCTTTTAATTGAATTGATGATATTCTGATGAAGGAAATTTTCCTCTTTTCTATTGTACTTAGAAAGGCTGAACACATGCTCAAAACTAAGCAGCTATAGCTACTTTACATCTACAAAATGGGATAAAATAAATTAACATGTACATTAAGGATGTTTCAACATGCCTAATAGCATGGTGTTGAAAGCATGCAATTTTTAGATTACAACAAAGAAAAATAATCTGTTTTGCAATCCTATTTTCAAGAAAAAAAAGGTGAAAAAATGAAATTTAATCAATGAACTTGTTTTATTTGCATTTGTCTTCTGGATGTTAGAAAATACATTTATTGTATTCACATAAATAGCTTGCTGATTTAATTTTATTTGTTTTGTTAGTTTTTTTATTTTTCAGGAAATAACAGTGTATTGAGATTAAATCAAATCATAATGCATATTTTTTCTATTTTTTTTTCACAATTAAGAATAATATATTTGGTAACATTTGAAGAAAACCCTCAACTTTAAATTCAGTTCAGAGATCAAGAATTCAGAAAGACTCATCTTTCCTGTTATGAATCACTTGATTCTTTTACAAAGCAAACTTAATTTTTACAGAAATTGATGATTCCAGCCCCTGTGGTGCTAGGTCTTAAAGCAGTGTTATTTTTCAAAATGAAATGGGAAAAACTATCACATTCTCCCAGGCTCCAGCACTGTGTGTAGAAGTCAAAGCAGGCAGACTCTCCCTGGACTCTCTTACACTGATTCATTTATGAACTTCTCACTTACCTCACTATCATTTACATACATCAGTCTGAATTTGGGGCTGCTCGAGACTCAGAGGAAATAAAAAAAAGCCCAGATTTTTGAAATCTTACAGTGGTGGAAATGTATTAAAGTCTGTGGCTTGTGGGTATGACACCCAGGCACTATGCTGGCAGAAACTAATTCAGTAGGTCAAAGAAGAGACGTGTAGCATGAAAAGAAGGAAAATATTTAATAATGTGTGAGATAAAACTGTCCCTGCTTTAACTTAGTATTTTCCAGCTCTGCAAGGCTCTAGGTTCTTCCTGCCTATGCTTTGAATGCATACAATGGAAATGAAATGGAAAGTAAAATAAAGAAACTTAGCCAAATATAAAGAAAGACTATGTGAACTTAACTTGAGCAATTTTGAATTTGACCATGATATACTACAGAGTGCCATAGAATAGGTATACAATGTTTGCTTTAGAAGATTATTGCGAGGAGGAACTGTTTAAGAGAGTTCATGAAATAATTTTGACAGCCTATTCTTGACTGAATGTTAAACAAGAATAATTCAGACAATATAAGACAAATCAGGATTTTTCTCTCTTTTTAGGAAGTCTTCAGCTGTAGCAAAAGATATATCCTTCATTTCTTATTTGTGAAAAACTAACAGAGTATCTCAAAATTTGGCTCTGTGTTAGGCTAGTTAGCAATAAGTATCTATAATAATTTGTTAAATTACAGAAAATATAATAAAATTTGCCCATCGAGTTACCTGGGAGAATTTTCAGAAATAGAAAAAAACCAACAAATTAGCAGTAGGAGAGCTGCTGAGATGAGAGGTTTTCTATGGACACCTCAGTGAATGATCTTACCTGTAAGAACCATATATGACTTTCTTACAGTCAACAAGAATAAATTTTTGTTCCATTTTTCCATGGAATTTTGCTCCTGTTTTAGAATAGTAATCTTGTCCTTTTACTGTCCGCACCCTCATGTTCTGTAAAAGACAATTGAAATACTTTAATTGGTATACTGCATTCCATATTTAGCATCCGGGGATTTAAAAGACAAGAGGTACAGTAGGAGAAGAATTATATTATTGCATATTAATAAACACTGCAGAGAAGCAAACTCTGATCAAACTTGTCCCCTAGGGACCCAAAATGGCAAGTTATTGCTTTGTCTTAATGACTGATGAGATTCCCTAAGCCACAGAAAATGGAATAAACAGAATTTTGCTTTTTCAATGCCACCACTCCCAGAAACGAGGTACTGGCACAAGAAATCTTCAGCAAAGTCTTTGACAATTTTTTGTAAAAAAAGAATTCTTTTCATCATCTGATGTACAATATTTAGAAGATTTCCAAGCATCTCAGCTAATCAGAGACAACACCTAAAGATCCAGTCTCACTTTTCTTTCATTTGGATAAGGCTGCTATATCTACAAACACAGACACCCCGCTCTAAGATGATCCACTGAATCCACCTGGCACCAGAATCCCTTGCAGTTTTACCACCAGTAAGATTTTTCCATCAGCTTTGCACCATGGGATCAATCACATTTCTAAATTCAGAGATGCTACCACAGCACAAACTCTAAGCAGCAGTTAGGTTTTAATTCCGTTAAGAACCTTTATGTTTTACTCATGTGAGCTCAGTAAATTGCACTTAGGAAATTTTACATGTTGGATGTCAAAAACATGGTCAATTTTTCTCCCAGACTGTGGATGAAATTGATTCAGCTGAGCCAGTGTCTTCTTTTTTTTTTTCTCTCTACTTGTTTTTTTAAGCTCATAGAAATAAAAGAATTCAAAAGAAGTGGTACAACACCTTGGGAACTGTACTAATAACAATTTTTAAAAAGTTCTTACATGGATGTATGGAAAAAGATCACAATGCATTTATCAAAAATTGTTACAGAAAGGTGCTTATTTATAGAAAAAAATAAAAATTATATTCAACGCAAACCAACCTACAGCATCTACCACATGCGGCTGTGAGATACAAAATGCTTTACAGGCCATAAAAATAGCTTGGAATATAGCTGTGAATGATCACAATATTTACTTAGTTTCTAGCCTTGCAGTATTTGTTCCAGCAATACTAATTTGTGGTGATTTACAAGTATCCCAGGGGGAATGAAATCCGTAGTTTAGTGCTGGCAGTAAGAAAACAGAATCTATATGATTATTACACAGACTGCATATATGGAAACAGTGGAATATAAGACTGGTTAACACTGAGCAATGTCTTCACAGGACTGCTACAAGGACAGGTTCAAAATCACAGCAGACCCGTTCTCTGTAAAGGCCAGATAAAGATGGATTAGGGCCCTTCATGAAGCAAAATGAGTAAGATTGTGCATAGAGTAAATTCAGCAAAATTGGGGGGATAAAATAAATAGGATAGGATAGGATAGGATAGGATAGGATAGGATAGGATAGGACAGGATAAATAGTCTATTTCAGTTGGAAGCGACCGACAATGCTCATCTAATCCAACTGCCTGACTACTTCAGGGTTGACCAAAAGTTAAAGCAGGTTGTTAAGGGTGGTTCAAATGCTTCTTAAACACTGACAGGCTTGGGGCATCGATCACGTTTCTAGAAAACCTATTCCAGTGTTTGACCATCCTCTGGGTAAAGAAATGCTTCCTAATGCCCAGTCTAAACCTCCCCTGGCGCAACGTTGAAAATTCCACTTCCCCTCCTCAGGAAGCTGTAGAGGTGTTTAAACGTATAGAAGTATTTAAGACTCCAGTCTATAAAGTATGACTTGAGTTTTCGATACAGTTACATAAACCTTTATTGTCTACGGGAGCACTTCCACATTTACCTAAAACATACAAAGCTAAAATAGATAAAGGTTGTAGGATTTTTAACAGTACAGTGTCTACTACAATTCAATGAACTTTATCTTTCCAAACAGAAACTTCAGAAAAATAGGAGAAAATCTCCATGAAATGAAAGCATATTTCTAAATAAAACATGCTTTCTTAATCACTATATATGTTGCTGTTGGTATCTTAAAACTTTTATCGAAAGAAAAAATCAAATCAAAGAAGCAAGAGTAACACTTAAAAGCTGCTGAGCTGGCAAATTACAGTTTGACTCAAGCTATTCAAGTTCTTTAATATTTATTTATTAGGTGAGTATTTACCTTGCATCTTTGTCAAGCTGTGTTTGAATATAAGTGCAACTCAGCTGAAATGTACAAAGACAGCTTTTAAAAATTACTTTTGTTTGTGACCTAAATGTTTTGCAAACGTGCTAGAAACACAAACCATAAACTTTATCTCTTAATTTGGCATAACAAATTGATAAAATAAAAGAAGTATTATCTAGAAGTGCTGTAAAATTTTAAAAGGTAAAATTTTTAAAACTGAAAATGCAGGTGGATGCTGAGGTCTATTTTCAGAAACAGTTAAAATAATCAATAACAGTAACAACCCAATTTGCATTACTGAATGTGGAGTTAACATAATTTTGCATCTCTACCTGCTAATCACTTTTGACAATCTGGGATGGTGTCTTTCAAGTTTTCTGCACTCCAATTAGAAGTTTTCTTATCAATGAAAGTCAATATTCCCACTTTCTAGTACGTTTTTTGTTGAACTCTGAACAAGCCAATCCCACTGAAGAAAATTACTATTTCTCCAGCAGCTACTCAAGCTTTAAGTAAAAGTAACTTAATAAAAAATTTTTATTTGAAAGTTATATAGTGAGGAAAAAGTAATTCCTGAAAAATAAAAAAAAAATCAAAACAAAACTGGAATTTGCCCATTCTAAAGATTATCAGAATAGCAAACCCTTATTTACTATAAAATAAAATTTCACGGATTAGTAATGAAATTTGCATTTACTTCAATGACTATTTCACCCAATTCTACATACCATGTAATTATATCTGTATGTCAGATTTATATTCAACTATATTAAATTATATTTATGTCACTGCAATTTGAAAAAGGTAACGTGAGAAGCAGCTTATACATTTTCAAATAACTACAGCGAGTAATGCTGGCCTAAAGGCATGCCAGTTGAACACATCAAATCTTACTGAGATAAGGCCTGATTGGTACTGGACAGCCTATCACTTGGGAATCTGGAATGCTGGAGGCACAAGCAAGGCTAATGGCTTCCAAATTACCATACTATATACAAAAAACCCTTTGCCTTAGGTACTCATAAGTTGAAATACAACTTCAAGTAGGCATATCTAAAGAAAAGGAATAAAATTTATATTAAATTGCTGTTTTTGTAAAAAAAATCGTAGTCACTTCCACCGTTCTCCCTTTTCTTTTCCTTCTCTTCAGTATTATTCCTCCTGCAGCTTTTCTGTCCTGGTTCCTTAATCCTGCCAACTCTTTTGCTCTCTCACTAGGTCATCCACTCAAAGACAGAACACGGCAGCATTACAAAGGCATGTGCCAGAGCTCATGCTCACCTTTCTCACATAACACTTCCTTTTCCTCTGCAGTTCATCAGGCATTCTTCATCTACGTCAAGACCTCTAATTAGGTGCCAGGGATGCATACTTTGAATAATCACCCAAAATACAGACAATATTTGAGGATATATAATAATAATAATGCATTCCACGTAGAATTAGAAGCAGTGAATATATACGTACAATAATAATAATGCATTCCATGTAGAATTAGAAGCAGTGAATATATACGTACTGAATTGCAAGCCCCATTTGGTATGAAATGCTGGGCTCTACCTTCCTACTTGGTTTCATCCTCAGGCTATAGGACTCCCCTGCTAACAGCAGTGTTATGCATCACTGTAGGTAAAGCAATAATTCCTTTATCAATCCTAAGAGGAACGTGCTAACTAAACCACACATCATGAAGGATCCCAGCTAGCCTGACAGGACACACAAAAGGGAGTAAGTACGTAAGATTGGCCATAGGGGGTCAAACAGAAAGTCTGGACTTGATGATCTTAAAGGTCCCTTCCAACCTAGACAATTCTATGATTCTGCCTGGTCCTGTAACCTATTTTTGTCAGCGACTTCTAGTTAATTCATATGGAAGAACAATTTAACCAAACACTTGATGCTTTAGGTTTTTGAAGCCAGACACAGAATCTTCTCCCTCCTCCAAGACCAGGTTGCAGGACACTAAGGGATATTTAAAATATCCAGTGGCTACAATTTAGGATGGCCACCAGAGCTATCCAGTTAAATGACACCCAACTGATGAAGAGGAAACAAGCTCTAACTACTCTTTTTATGTATGACTGCACTACTATCTTCCCAGAGAGAGACACATAAACATGACTTAAATTTCTGGAGTATAATTCAACATAACACATTCATTTTCATCAGTAAAAACCCTTCAATGTGACAGATAAGTACAGTGAATAGAACGGTCTCAAACATTTCACTTCAGCAATTTTTATTTGTTGAGTCTGGTTTTATCCGTGTTCAATTATTCACCCTGTACTTTCTGTCAAGAATATGCACAAAGAAGAAAATGGATGTCTACCTAGTACCCAGCCTAACAGCTTTAAAGAAAAAAAAAGTCACATTTCTCATATTGTTCATCATTACTGATGTTATTAATTATCCTAAGCCTCTCTTCTTACTATGAGATAATAGCTGCTGTACAAATACCAACCAGTTTTCAAGTTCACTTCTATTCTGACTTTGAATCTGATCCAAGTACCAATCACTGAAGATAAAATCTCAATGACTTCACTGGAGTCAGGGGTCCCCTAGCAAAGAGTTTTCCTCACAGGTATGACACCATGCTGTACATGCCTATTTAATAGCCAAATTTGACTTATACTTGGAAGTACTGGAAAACTTTTGGTGATTTTGGTAACACTGGTTAGAAATAACAGACTGCAATCAGGTCTCAAGAGTAGCTCCTGCTATGCATTATCTGGGAGCAGACTTCACAAAAGGAAAGTAAAATAAATTCATTAGTGGTTCTATTCTCTCAACCTGCAATTCACTAAAAATACTGAGAGGAGTATCAGGGGATAAA